CAACCGCCATTCCAGCAGCTGTCTGTGCTCCCGCAGCCTACTCCTCTAAAAAAGTCTGAAAACTGTGGCGGTAATTGAAGCTTTGGAAGTCATCAATGACAATTCTGTTTAATCTTTTAAAATCTGTCACCTCAAAAAAAAAATCCTACTGGTTTTCTAATAAAAATAGCAATGACTATAATTCACAGATGGTTTACTTTTACAGGAGTCAGAATGACATTAACATTTTAATATCAGATCAGAACACTCTGCGCCTAGAGAGCGCACCGGGAGAGGGCTTAGTAGGAGAACGTCTCAACCTCTCCTTTTCTCTCATTGTGAGAAACTCTTTTCATAACAGAATGCAGCTAAAATCAAGAATGTAGGTGATTTGAACATTTGGTCTCATTTGGATGAACCCTAATTTGTTGGATTTGATATAGCACACTAAGGCATTGATTACTGAGTAACTTCACATGAATTCATTCCATAGAAAAAATTAAAATGGCCAACACTTTTCTCCTGATCAACATCATTAACAGACAATGGAAATCCCTGAAAATTTAGAATTCATCTGATCTTGTCTGAGTTTTCCTGATAAAGAAAGATTCCCAGATTTAAGCCCCCACTAGTCCTTAGTGTCAGTGATAGCAGAGGACTTGAGGACTAAAATGCATTATCCAGAATATTTTCTGAGGAATAAATTCAAAATACTACTAAATGGCTAATTTCGATCTTTAAGGAGAGAAGAAACATTTACTACACACATGACATCTCTAAAAGACCTGCAAAGTCAAATGTTAAAATTTCCAATGGGCATCTCCAAATATTGCCAATCCACAAATAAATTGTATGATAAAAAATAAAACAAATAAATTCGCTGGTTCAGGTCCCGGGCGCACACCGAAGCACCACTTGGTGAGCCATGCTGTGGCGAAGTCCCATATAAAGTGGAGGAAGATGGGCACGGATGTTATCCCAGGGCCAGTCTTCCTCAGCAAAAAAAGGGGAGGATTGGCAGATGTTAGCACAGGGCTGATCTCCTCACAAAAAAATAAATAAATAAATAAATAAATTAGTCCATTGGATAACTGTAAAGTAAAACCAAATAGTGGAATGAAAAAAAATTTTTAATCATCTGAATGTGATGGTAGCACAATAACGAGTCATTTCCATGAAGTTTTTAGTTTTGTCTTAGCGGGATACTTACAATGGAGATTCATACTTCCAGCCTTTCCTACGTCCAATGAATCAGAAGCCCGGAAGCCCTCCCCACTTATAAAGCCCTTGATTTTACCTCCACAGGGGGAGTTTTCATGGGCACAGCCACACCAAAAGCTCTCCAGCAGCTTTGGGAGTTGGCCTATCTTCTGGCTCCCACCGTGACATGTGTCTGCCTGCATTCCACCTTCCCTTGCACACGTCCTATGTTTCGTGCTCCCACCCTGCTCCTCCTCTGTCATTATCCCAATCCATGGCTCCCAGCAGAACTCCTTTTTTCTATCTCCAAGTCTGGCCTGACATGCAAATCAGCGTGCAACACTCAGATCACTTCTTAACTACCCACTATCGACTCCTATGAGATCTCTAATATATCGTGAAAAAAATCCACTTCATCCATATTTACCCCTCTTCTAATTTAGCCTCCATAGATGAACTGAAAATTGGCTATTTCCTGAAAATACTCTATTATGAGGTTTCACTTTTTCTCACTTTCTTTGTCTTGGTGGGGGAGGGGGTCAGCTGAATCATCGCTCCCCAACCTTAAGTTTTATGTCTACATCATTCATGGACCAATTTCATTCCACTTTTCTTTTTACATTTACTCCCTCCATCATTTATTCTATCACCTACAGACTTCCATGACTTATGCCCAGCTTGCTGAATAACTTCAGGGTCTGGCCTATGTTTTCATTGTCATCATACGTTATTTTCATCCTTGAAGACATTATTATCTGTTTCTATGACTCATCTTATACCAGGACTTCCCAATACCTCATCTTCTGTCTCTAATCTGAATCACCTCTCCCCACATCCCTACCACTTGTGAAGTTTAAGAATATATCTTCGTATTCTTCAGAAGATGTGTGTGTGTGTTTACATATATAATATATAGTAATATTAATATAATTTTATATATATGTATAATGGCAAATATGCCATGCAATATAAGAATAATAAGGAATCATTCATAGGGTGCTCTGGGAACACAAATGAAAGTCATCAAAGCCCTACCGGAAGTGGAGAAATGGGTATAAAAATTTAATAATGGAGATGGGGTTTGATTTCAGTCATAAGAGATAAATAGGAGTTGGCCAGCAGACAAGCAGCAGTTGTAGAATCTTCCAAACCCAAATTGTTGATTGATTATATTTTCCTGCCTCCCCAACTACCTCCCAAAGCCAAACCCAAAAATCCATTCTCCAGACAGTTTTAAGAAGCAGCTTTGTAAATTTTAAATATAATTTCAAAAATTGTTTTTGTAAAATTTGAGTCAGATCTTCTTTAAATCTTCCAGTGTATCCACGTTGTTCGTAGGGCAATGTCCACGTTTTTCCTGGAATTCTCTGCACGAATTTGCCACCAGGTACATGCGCAGCCTTCTCCCTCCCCGTCACTCTTCCTCGTCACTCCCCACAGCTGTGCTCCAAGGCAGTTTGTTGTTTTCTGCTCCTTGCCTTTCACGTGCTAGCTTTTCTACCCCACATTCATCTTCTCCCACTGTCCCTAGACACCCTGGAAAACTCCTGCTTATCCATCAAGACTAAATGGCTTAGATAACATACTTCTCAGTGAATCCTACCTGATCCCACCTTGATCACCCCCTCCTCTCTGATGGTCCTTGGGTGTAACTCTGTCGTCGCACTGAGCAAGTATTCTTGCTGCATTTGCTCACTGCTGATCTTCCCCAGTAAACTATGAGCTCCTTGAGGAGAGAGTCCTCCTTTGTATCCCCAAAATCTAGCACAATTCTGAAGATAAACCTACTTTGGTTTTTTGAATGGCCGTTAGAAATGTCACTGTAAGAGATCATCCTATCCGACTCCCTTTCTGGCCAGCGTCTCCATTTACTTAAGGGAGTGGAACTCGAATCCAGCTCTTTTCTCCCCATGTCGGGCTCCTTCTATGTATTAGCTCCCCCAATGATCATTACTGATTCCAGGCACTGTGTAGTCTTGTTGGCTATCACTCCTTTGGAGTTTCATTTGGGAACCCAGATTTGCATGAATTTTGCCTTTGGGATTTAGTTTCCCACAATGAGTTACATACCACAGTCAGTGATGAACAGAGAGATGACATGCTCCCTCCTTCCCAGTGCCTGTCTCACAGATTTGTTCTGCAGCGCTCACAGACAGTACCAACTGTTCTTCCTGTTGACTGCCAAAAGAAGTCAGCAGTTGGGAAGGGAGAAAAAAAAGACTATGAATTATGGAAAATAACTAGAGACAGAGAATGGCAATACGATGAGAAAAAAAGTAACAACTCTCTACAGCCACCCACCCAGGGAACTGTCTCAAATTTCAACCAACTAAAAGAAAACTAAATGAGGCAGGACATCTAGTCAACCAGGGGTCTCTGGACCAGGACAGTAGTTGAGAGCTTCCCCATTGATCTAACTAGGCTGACTGCCATAATGCAAGACTCAGGTCCCAATCTCTTACAAAACTGTGTGTTTCATTAAGACAACAGATCATGGCTAAGGGAAGAGTTAGATAGAAAGATGGGAAGTGATGAAATATGTTTGGAGTAAACTCAGTTTCCATGTGAAAAGGTTCATAAACCACCTTTGGCCAAGTACTCTGAAGACAAGGCAAGTCTAACCTATAAACCTTTCCAGTACCTAATGGTGTGTACATGCAGGCAAGCTTCGGGTGTCATTGTGATGTATCACACAGGCTGTGGGGTGTTATCGTTTTAATGTCCCCAGCTCATGCTTGGGAGCACACCTGTTAGTCTTCCTCTCATCTTAATGGTGTTTGTCTCAAGTGCTAAGAATATAATTATGAACATATCACAAGGTTTGCCTAAGCAGTATTTTTTCTTTTCTAACAGAATATCACCTCAGAGCTTCCCCAGCACTTTATGTTTGTATTTACCAGGCTTTCTGAACTTATTTATGTTTGCTTCCCCTAAGAGACTGTGAGCACTTACATTGTGAAGGGCATTCCTCACACCTACCACAGTTCTGTGAATACTTAGAACACACAAGAAAATTATTTTTAAAATGCGTGGATATGGCTTATTGTTATGTGTTTTTAAGCGTTTCTTTGGCAGCCGTCTTCCTCAGCAGCAGCACGTGTAGACTAGATGCATGCCACTAGAGCCTTTCGTAGAAACTGATTTGGTAACCTGTTGACATTCCCTTTAAAAAATTCTAGAGAGGAGTGTTCATTGCACAGCACTGTTTACGCAAGCATCTGGAAGATTTTTGCTCATGGACAACTTTATTCAGGTGTTTTTCTTTTGTGCTACAGTTCCATAATTGCAGCTGTATAAACATTCAATTTATAATAATATATGGTGTAGTGGAAAAAATAATTGAAGCAATTTTGTGGGTCAGCTTTATGGTTATTGTTGGTCTTTTTGTTTGTTTTCCTTTTTGTTGACTCATCCTCCCTGCTTTGAGTTGAGGAAACAAAAGGATCACCAATTAAAGATGAGAGTCCAGCTCTGGAATAGAGAGTTCTCTGATGGGGTGGTTTTATCTTCCCACGAAGAGTTGAGGCCCATGTTTCTCTTCTGCACTGCATGGTGCAACCTCTTCAGCTATAGTATGTAGGCGTTTGCAAACTTTAGTGACCATGTGTACACACAGCAAACATACTTATTAGAACAAAACCTTCGGGATTGTGATTACATGTAATGGTGTTAAAAAAAGATAAGGAAGATGTACTGGAATTCATTTTGTTAGCTTTGTTCCTTCTAATCCTCTTCTGGAACTATCTCTTACCTGATGATTTTCTCATCATTATTTTGGTATCTTCACGCTGTTAAATGTTTTCCTGCTGTTTGTGTTGTAGATGGGTGTCCGAAAAGTGTTTCTAAAATACTGGCATGCCGGCCAGCTCAATGATTTGTGCCTACAGCTGCAGAGAAAAATTATCACCTGCCAAAAAGGTAACCATTACACACCAACATTTCTGAGCTTTTTTGAGTTGTAAATACAGAATCAGTTAGCGCATCCCCACGTTTAACGTCAATGGGCTCTACATTATCGTGGACCGCTGCCTCCGTTCCACAACCCCGCATCCAGGCAACCAGCTTTGGGAGTTGAGGAAGCACCGTGGCCTAGTTTGCTCTTTACCCGTCTCTAAATCTCCGTGTGCAGACACTGCGCTTGCGTTACTGGGCAGTCTTTCTATCTGGAATTTTATAGCAAATTTCCACCTAAACCACAATTTGGAAGAGGGGATATTCATATCTTACAATTTATGCACCCCCCACCTTGCAGATATTCATGCTTGTTGATCCTTTCAAGGAGCACAGGACAAGCAGAGTGCACCTTTGAAGCCTCAGTGGGAAAACCCCATGCGGCACGGAGGTGCAGCAACTGGGCCAGTTCGGTCGGCACCACTGGTGTGCTAGGGTCTGGAGGACTGGAACGGCCAATGAGCCAGACCACATTTTATATAATTCTACATACGCCTAGGAAAAATCCTTGACTTTGTTTTTCCTTTGTGAAGTGATACTAATATTTGGAGAATTATCTTTGATAGCAGATAGCATCTACTTCTTTTTAACTAGGGGAGAGATTCCATTTAGAATTTTTTTTCCTATAAAAACCCAAGTGACTGTCAAAAATGGGTACATTTAAAAAATCATAACTATGCCCCACATAAAACATATATACTTAATAGATTTTTAATTTGCTTAATAATTTAATTAGATTACATATATATAATGAATAAAATATTTAAGGAAAGGTAAAATAAGGAGAAATTCATCCTCACGCTAGTTTTAGATGGGACCTACTGTAATGAGCTTAGCCCTCTGGGATATTTGAAACTGTTACAAAACAAGAGCACCTCATAGGATGCAGAAATCGGTTTAAGCCTCTGTCCATTTGAGCCCCTGTGGGACCTGTCCAGGCGGGCCCCTTGTGAAATCTCCAGAGGTCTCATCGTTTTCTGATGATAAAAAGTCCTGCTATAGGCTAGTCCCTCAGACAGTCCATTCAGAATTTAGCAAGTCCAGTCCAAGTAAAGCTCAAAATTCAGAACTTCATGCCCAGTTAAAGCGTCCCTCTTCGCCGTCTCAGGCCCACGGGTGGGGAGTGCACGTGGTTCTCACCCCTACCTACTCAGGTGCCCCCAGACCCTCCAGGGCTGATGCCGGAGAAGGGAGGGGGCAGGGCAGCTCTTCTGTCTGACTGGCACCAGTGTGACCTGGCATTGGGTTTCTCCAGTGGGCGGACAGGTGTTAAATGGCTCTGTGCATATGCGGGAGCATTTCAGTGCTCCCCTGGGCTCCCACCTGAGAACTGGCAAGACCTATCCTTGGGACAGTCGCTTATAATTTCCAGTCAGTCACTGGGCACCCACGAACACTCCGTGCCTGGGCGGGGGTGCTCTCTAAGAAGAAGTCTCTTTATATGACTCCAAGCAGGCATCTCTTTCTTGAAAACCACATCTGGTGCCAAAAAACCACCCTCTGGGACCCTGAGAGGTGCAGCTTCTCCCAGCAGAGCCGCCATGCATTCGGCGCCCAGCAGCCACTGACGGCGCAGCATCGGCCTTCTCAGGCCTCACTGTCCACCGTGTCCTCCAAACTCCAGACTCATGTGGCTCTGCATGGTCTCCTGCAGCCCTTCACCAGCGTGGAGGTCAGGGGCGGTTGGGGAGGCTCAAGTGACAGAGGGGGCCCACCCCCACCTCTCGGCAACTCTTGCTTCTCTCTGGCTTGTGATGATCTGGCCTCCTTAACTTCGTCCTTCATCAGTGTAGGGAGAGGCTGGGCTCACAGGTCTGTTTAGGACCACTGCCTTTGCAATTCCTATGTGTGTGGTCAGCCCGACACACCGCCTTGTGATCTGAGCACCTGCAGCCTCAGTGTCCCCTGAGAGCTGGATAGAAATGCAGGGTCGCAGGCCACGCCCCAGACCTCCGGAATCAGAATCTGCATTTGCAGCCTCAGCTGAACGTGGGACGGAGGGTCCCACTCGCAAGACCAGTGCTCTAGCGCCGGAGCTGTGGGGCCAACTGCGAGTCCCACTTAACGTCATGTTACGGGGACGCAGAACAGGGCATCAGATTCTCCCAGAAATTCTCCTTAGCTCTAATTAGAAGAATATGTGCCCCATCTTCCATCACGGGTGCTCATTAGACATTTCTCTTCTATTTATTCACGAAGATTAAGTTGCTGTGTCCTACTGACCTGAAACAGAAGAAATGAGCAGAACTCTAGTGATCTCTTCACCTCTAAAGATAAAATGGAGACTGGTCTAAAAAACATGACATTAAGTTGAAAACCATAATTTCATATTGCACAAATGAAATAATGGACATAAAAGCATTTTTTAAATTACAGGCTCTTAAATGCAAAGCAGTCATTATTGATTTTTATTTTTACGTCTCTTGAAACAGTTCCTTCAATACTTTCTGCTAGTATGAAATTTACTCAAAATTTAAATAATCTGGAGTCATTTCCAGTTTTTTAAGAGTTCTCATTTTTTCTTTGTAAATGTTGGGGGGACAAAAGCTGTAACTTTTAGTCTTAAATTTAATCATTTTAATTTCAAGTTATTCCTAACAGAGTTTCTCTCCGACCATATATGTTTATTTTGTCCTGGATGAAAACTGTCTGTTAAAACCTGAATGCTGTGAGTTTTATAAAAGCAGTCTGTTGAAATCATGAGAAAGAGAACAAGTATCAATATCTGTTGGAAGCAAATTTATTTCTATTAGTTGTCTCTTATTAAAGATATCAATTTTTAGCAACTGGTGTAACATTTTTAAAGAGTTTTAAAAGGCTGCCTGTAGGAAATGTGAGTAAGTGGAGTCCCCCGGGACCACAGATGCCCGGGTGCATGTGAATGCAGGGGTAGCTCTGCTGGAGGAAGAGGTCTCGAGAGTCTGGCACAGCCACATTAATCTTCCCTTTATTCCGAGAGATTAAACATCTTGAATATACCCTCACCTCACCCTTCCAAAATCAGTGTCTCAATTTCTTTAATGTAACAAGAATGAACAAGTGAGAAGGCTGATTTCAGTTGTTCTGCCTCTTTCTCTCAATGTGCCGGCCACATGGTTAACACGTCTGCATTTTATTCCACGTTTTATACTTCTGGAGGTCTGATTGTACCTTTTACTGTTTAATTTTTTCCCCTTAAGATTAGTGCAGGGGCCAGCCTGGTGGCGCAAGCAGTTAAGTGTATGCGCTCCGCTGCGGTGGCCTGGGCTTCACCGGTACGGATCCCGGGCGCACACCGACGCCCTGCTTGGCAAGCCATGCTGTGGCAACATCCCATATAAAATGGAGGAAGATGGGTATGGATGTTAGCCCAAGGCCAGTCTTCCTCAGCAAAAAAAAAGAGGAGGATTGGCAGATGTTAGCACAGGGCTGATCTTCCTCACAAAAAAAAAAAAGATTAGTTCAGCATGACTGTTTTACAGTTAACTTAATACAACCGCATTTCAGAGTAACTAAACATTTAGTATTGCCATCTGAAAAAAAAAAAAAAAAGAACCTTAAGCATTTTAGATGTCTGCGTATTATTTGCCTCTGAAGCCATAATTGTGGAGAGTTGTGTTCAGCTTTCCACCTTGTAATCAAGTAAAGGCATCAAAGTGAATATTGTAGGTAACCCACATTTATTCTTCTATAGCCGTGGAATATTTTAAGGCACTTAATGTTTTACAGGATGCCCCTCCTCCCTACAGACAAGAATAAAGTGTCTTTGCTATACACATTGAAATTATAGATCTTGTTATAAAGCAAACAACTCCTTCTAATCTTAGAAACTTGGAGTTGGAAGGGAAGGCTCTTAGAGTGCAAAGGCCCACATGGGAATTCCTCTGCCTGCACCTGTCCACAGTATCCATGAAAGGGGTCCATTTTCCCCTCTGGAACATGCTCAGGGATGGGGAGCCAACTCCTTTTCTCAGAACATGCCCTGATCCATTTATACCCTGTGCTCATTGTTAGAAAGTTCTTCCTAAGAGATATAAAAGGGATCCAAGTTGGAAAGGAAGAAGTAAAACTGTCACTATTTGCAGATGACATGATTTTATATATAGAAAATCCTAAAGAACCCACCAAAAAACTATTAGAATTAATAAATGAATACAGTAAAGTTGCAGGATACAAAATCAACATAGAAAAATCCGTTGCATTTCTATATACTAACAATGAAATAGCAGAAAGAGAAATTGAGAATACCATCCCATTTACAATTGCAACAAAAAGAATAAAATACCTAGGAATAAATTTAACCAAAGAGGTGAAAGACTCGTACACTGAGAACTATAAAACAAAATTATTGAAAGAAATCGAAGATGACACAAAGAAATGGAAAGATATTCCGTGCTCATGGATTAGAAGAATTAATATAGTTAAAATGTCCATACTTCCTAAAGCAATCTATAGATTCAATGCAATCCCTATCAGAGTCCCAACATTTTTCACAGAAATAGAGCAAAGAATCCTAAAATTGTTTGGAACAACAAAAGACTCCAAATAGCCAGAGGAATGTTGAGAAAAAAGCACAAAGCTGGAGGTATCACCCTCCCTGATTTCAAAATATACTACAAAGCTATAGTAATCAAAACGGCATGGTACTGGCACAAAAACAGACACACAGATCAATGGAATAGAATCAAATAAATAACCACAAATAAACCCACACATCTATGGAAAGCTAATTTTTGACAAGTGAACCAAGAACATACAATGGATTAAGGAAAGTCTCTTCAATAAATGGTGCTGGGAAAACTGAACAGCCACATGCAAAAGAATGAAAGTAGACCATTATCTTACACCATACACAAAAATTAACTCAAAATGGATTAAAGACTTGAATGTAAGATCTGAAACTATAAAACTTCTAGAAGAAAACATAAGCAGTACACTCTTCGACATAGGTTTTATCAGCATCTTTTCGAACACCATGTCTCATCAGGCAAGGGAAACTAAAGAAAAAATAAATAAATGGGACTACATCAAACTAAAAAGCTTCTGCACAGCAAAAGAAACCATCAACAAAGTGAAAAGACAACCTAACAATTGGGAGAAGATATTTACAAACCATATATCTGATAAGGGGTTAATCTCCAAAATATATAAAAACTCATACATCTCAACAATAAAAAAACAATCCAGTTAAAAAATGGGCAAAAGATCTGAACAGACACTTTTCCAAAGAAGATATACAGATAATTATTAGGGAAATACAAATCAAAACTACAATGAGACATCACCTCATGCCCGTCAGAATGGCTATAATTAACAAGACAAGAAATAACAAGCATTGGAGAGGATGTGGAGAAAAGGGAACTCTCATACACTGCTGGTGGGAATGTAAACTGGTGCAGCCACTATGGAAAACAGTATGGAGATTCCTCAAAAAATTAAGAATAGAACTACCATATGATCCAGCTATTCCACTGCTGGGTATTTATCCAAAGAACACAAAAACACAAATGCGTCAAAATACACGCACCCCTACATTCATTGCAGCATTATTCACAATAGCCAAGACTTGGAAACAACCTAAGTGCCCATCAACGGATGAATGGATAAAGAAGATGTGGTATATATATATACAATGGAATACTACTCAGCTATAAAAAACATGAAACCTTGCCATTTGCGACAACATGGATGGATCTTGAGGGTATTATGCTAAGCGAAATAAGTCAGATGGAGAAAGTCAAATACCGTATGATTTCCCTCATAAGTAGGAGATAAAAACAACAGCAACAACAAACATAGAAATAGATACAGAGATTAGATTGTTGGTTACCAGAGGGGAAGGGGGGAGGGAGGAGGGTGAGAGGGGTAATAGGACATATGTGTACAGTGATGGATGGCAATTAGTCTTTGGGTGGTGAACATGATGTAGTCTATACAGAAATCCAAATATGATGATGTACACCTGAAATTTATATAATGTTATAAACCAATGTTACCTCAATGAAAGATAAATCAAATAAAATTCTTCCTCACATTGATCACAAATATGCCTCCGTAGGATTTCCCTGTTGGTGGTCTGCTCTCTGGAGAGCTGAGACCACATCTATATGGTCGGAGGCTGCGGCAATGAGTTTGGCCTCATAAGCGTAGAGATTTGAATCCTGGCTCTACCGTTCATTGGTTGTGTTTACCTGGAGGAATTTTCTTAGCCTCACTAAGCTTCTCTTTCTTTGGGTACAAAATGGAGATAATGATATATTAATTATCATTTAGTTTTGGCATTAAATGATAGAATAAAGTGCCTAACATATGGAAGTGCCTTTAAATGGTGGTCATTATTTTTATTCTCAAGCCTCACATTTGTTACTGACATAATAGCAGTTTCAAAGTGTGTTCACTTACTTGTTTCCCCGGTTCTTACACATTTTTCTAGCCCTACTTCCCGGGAGAGCAGGAAGGATGTTCTATACTTCTACACAATCTCTTATCACAGTCTTAAATGCAATGTTAGTTTTTCTAGGAGTTGAATCACAGTCTTATTAACAATACAAGCATGATGTTTTCGAAGACTAACTCCAGGAGCCTCAGATGTTTCTGTTGTAATCTGATAGAATGAAAGTTGATCTGTGCATCCCAAAATGGTCCAGTTGCAGCCACATCCCAGAATTCTCTGGTGCTTGAACCTAGTTCTTTCCCATTGATTTTATTCCAGTCCATCAATGTCCAGCCTGTGTTACCAAAAGAAGCGTGGAAGCTTTATTATAAATGTTACCTGGACAATCTCATTCAGGTTAAAGATTTTTGACTCTAGTGTTATTATTACTGAATTTAGATATCTTTGTTAACACAAGATTAGAAGGCTTTAGTAAATTCTTATTCTGGGTTAAATGTGTCTTCTTTTATAGCTGCTCAGACATATATGTATTGTGACTTTTGCTTGTGTGTGCCTGCGTTTTTCCCTCTTGCTCCTCTTACTGACTCAAGCTTGTGTTCTTTTGTGGAAGTTATAAGAGGATTTCTAGCACGCCAGCACTTGCTTCAGAAAAGGAGCATCAGACAACAAGAGGTCACGTCCATCAACAGCTTTCTGCAGATTACAGAGGACATGGGGCTGAAGACCTATGATGCCCTGGTCATTCAGAACGCTTCGGACATTGCCCGGGAAAATGACCGGCTCAGGAACGAAATGAATGCTACTTACCACAAAGAGAAGCTGGAGGCCAGGAACAAGCCAGAGGAAGGAAACAGAAGGTAAAGACAGATAGTCTGCAATTTTAATTACCTCTGTAATTGATCTAATGAAGTCAAGAAAATTCTGACAGCCCATAATGCAAAGTTCAATCAAATATGACAGTAGTTATGGGAACAAGCATGTATGCATGCGTGGTTTGTTACTTGAAACCTCCTAGCAGTCTAAAAGGATGCTTTTCCTGTGCTTCCTTTTCATGAAATAGGTGCTCTCTGTGTTAGTTTAGTTATATGAAATAATTATTGCTTCACCTACAATGCTTGCATCATTTACCAGCTCAAGCATGAAGTTTTAAGGCATCTAGTATTTCTGTCTTAGCAAAAATATATAGCTAGGTTCTTGACATCTTTATACAAATGTCATGTATATAAGGCTAAGTCAAAGAAACTTCTGGAAATTTGAAAAAAATGGAGAAGCCACTCTGGAAACATAAAAGTAGCGAAATCAATAAATGGTTTTATATATTATATTTCCTTTAGTATACTGTCACATTTTCTTTGCCAATTAGGATACCTTTGGGAAAAGCTTTTTACTTTAAAGTTTACTTTGGATGCTGAGTTTGAAATAGAAACGTGAGCGCAACCTGGTCCTTCTCCATTTTATGGCTCTTTCCTCTCTGTGAATGATGAGAACACCTATGATTCACACCCCTCTCCAGAAGGGCAGGAACCCAGGTCTTTTGAATCCTAATTTGCTGCCAGGAAGATGTTTGTTTTTCCATAGGAACTTGGTAATATCTAGTTGTTTCTCACTGAAAATGACTTCCCTGCACCTTGACTGCCTATGTCAAAAGATTTTTTATTAAAGTGGAAATGGTGATGTGTCTCTCACTAATTAACTTCAGATATCTCAGTGATTAAACACTGAAAAATTCCCTTTGTACAGAAAACTGTAATTAAACATTACAGGGAAAACAAATTATCCACTGAGTGCCATGCTTTCATCTTCAGCTAGTTCATTTTCTACATGGGTGTCTGGCTCTGCCTTGTGGTAGATCCCAGCCCTGTTGCTGCTCTGCCACGCAAAGATATAATTATAAAGACAAATGCTCGGAGACTCCTTGTAACGTGACTGCATTGGCATCTCGCTAGTACATGATTACATTGACATGTGAAGCCAGAAGGCATTTTTCAAACCAGATAACTATTAATTTTATATGAATTCCAGAATAATATTTATTATTTTCTCTGCTGGAGCTAAACAGCCACCCCAATTTCTCAATTTGATTATGTATTCATTTGCCTAATATAAAATTAAGTGAAGAAGTATTTGTGTATTTGTTTATTGAATAGCAGCAGTTCACTTGGCATTGGGCAACCAGATGGAGCAACAGAAGAAAAATAATAATTCTGCACATAATTAAATAGTTGCTGATGGAATTTAAATGGCAGGGGAAAAAGAGGAGAGAGAAAGATCCAAAATGTAAATTTCTGATAGTTTTAAGTGGAGTATATACTCTTTTGCAAGGGGAAATGATGATGAACTCCCAGCATCTGATGCATCAGTACCTCTCTATTAAGATGGATTTCCCAGAAATTATCATTCAGATTGAAATTCTGGTTTCTTGATTTGCTTAATAATCAGAGTGTGAAAAATTCATTCAGTGAATGCCTGGTAGAAAATGTGGCACTCCTTAAGAAGTGTTGCGTTTGTGTGAGATTTTTAAAAAATCATAATGATGAATCTCCAACGTGCTTATATATCATAAAGCGGGAGCTGGAAGGATAGGCAGCTCTCTCTGGATGCGCCAGGCACCAGAGAGCTGCATACACATCCTCCAGCTGGGCAGGGAAGGCTGTTTACCAAAAAGCTGTGATGATGTCCGCTTCAGCAGGTTCATTGTTACCACCTGAATAATGCATCTGGGCCTCTCTGGTGGAGTGTTGTTTGTGTTTTGTTCCCCCCAAGAGCTGAAGACAAGGGTGGACCCAGGCATTTTCACTGCAGCTCCGTCCCAGTCCCCATGGCAGTGGACGGCCTGGTCCAGTCCCTGGCTGGCCCATCCACCCGGTCTCCTTCTCTGCACTCGGTGTTCAGCCTGGATGACAGCAGTGGCCTCCCGTCACCACGGAAACAGCCTCCACCCAAGCCAAAGAGGGACCCCACCACGCGGCTGAGCGCCTCCTATGAGGCAGTGAGCGCCTGCCTGTGGGCCGCAGCTAAGGAATCCGCGAGTGAAGGTTAGCCACTGGGAAGGAGGAAGCTGTTGGGTTATTGGTGCTCTGACTTTGGTCTTTGAGGGCCCCATGGGAGTATGATTGCCCTAATATATTTTTAAAAGAAATAAATCCAATTGTTGGCTTTCTGACAGCTCTTTAATCATTAAATATAAATAATATTTATTCAACTCTCTAAGCCTCTTAGGGAAAAGCTACTTACATATTATTTCCTTAACTCCCATCCCAACTTCAACATTCAATGAGGAGCCTCAAACCAGAACAATTCAGCAAGTCAGTCGCTAATCCATGTAAATTTTCACTAATTAAAAAGCTAAAAAATTTTATCAGGCTTCCCTGTTATCACAATCTAATTAAAAATTAAAGCTGCTTGGGCCGGCCGCATGGCTTAGCGGTTAAGTGCGTGCGCTCTGCTGCTGGCGGCCCCGGGTTCGGATCCTGGGCGTGCACTGACACACCACTTCTCCGGCCATGCTGAGGCCGCGTCCCACATACAGCAACTAGAAGGATGTGCAGCTATGACATGCGGCTATCTACTGGGGCTTTCGGGGAAAAAAATAAATAAATAAAATTATAAAAAAAAAAAAGTAAAGCTGCTTTATCATGCGGTAAGTGAAACGATTCATGCAGAGGAGAATCAGGTCATGGTGAAATTCAGTCCGTGAAACTTTTGGGACCAGACAACAAAAGTTTCTGCACTGGTGGTCTACAAATATTTATGCCAAAAAGAGTAAATCACAGCTTATTCTCAATCAGAGCTCTCATAGATTAGTTCATGTGACTATTATTGCTTAATTATTAATTTCTAGAATTATGAAAAATAGAGGAAGTACTTCCAAACAAACAAAGCTATCTTCCCTCATGGGCTTTACATTCTAGTGGAGAAGACAGATGTTAGTTAACACAATAAACAAGTAGACACAGGTTGTATTTTAGAGGATCATTGTCACAGAGAAAAATACATGTGGTAGGAGGTGGTAGTGAAGGGTGGGAGGGTTGAAATTCTAAAGAAATGGCTGCATAGGTTTCGCTAGAAAATATTTTCTGAACGTAGGATGGAACACTATTCCTTTGGTAAATAAGTGAACCAAAAATGCAAATGCACAGCAAAGCGATCAGCTCACCTTTGGGAAAAGATGGCTGACACCATGGAGACATGGAAAGACCATGGGCCAGAAGCCTGGAACAATGAGTAGACCCCAGATATCTTCAAAAATGCTTTTTATTGGTATCTTTAAGAAAGAATAGATCTTTAGGAGAATTTTTACTAAAAACAGTGTTACTGTTGTAAGATATGTGTCATGTTACAATAATACTTAGATGGAGATGTAGGAGAAATTCATAATTTGGGGGAGAAGAGTCCAAGTGTGTGTTTTTAGTGTCATGGTAATAAGGATGACAATGAAAGGTGAGAACTGACAATAGGGAAATCATCTAGAGGAGGGTCTTCAGGTGGATGTAAATGTGAACATAGAGACAAAGCTAGAACAGGGCTCCAGAGAAACATGGCACCCTCCCAATGGACTGTGCAAACTTAAAGAGGCTGACAGTCTACACAGATCATAAATACACTCCCCGAGAAAGTAGAATAAACAGCATTTCCCTCATTATTACTTTTAGAACTCTGTATTAGATTTATGGTACAGATCTGAAAAAGGGGTGACTGAAATAAGAAGAAAGATTTTTTTGGCATGCGGGAGGAGGAAGAATAGTATCTAAAAGGCTAAGACTAATGAGATGTGGAGAATGTGAAACAAAGACTCAAGATAGCATCATAGATTGAAAAACCAATACGAAACAAGACTGAAAACTGCAGTGTACATGAGATGGAGCCCCATCCAAATTTGAACGAGCTCTGTAAATTTAGATAACTAGGCCTCAAAATAGCCTGTAAAGTCTGAAAACACTTTCTGTTGGTGTGCACCTCAAAAGACTCACTGCCCTGGAGTTGAGATTTGGGGGTTATCAGGTGCCAACTAGTCACACGTTGTGAATGGAGACAAAATATTGAGAATAAAATTGGGCTCTCTCAGATGGGCAGCAAAAAAAATGTCAATTAAAAAAAAAGTTACTCAAGAACCAAAGGAGATAAAAATATATACCAAAGAAAATGACAGAAAAAAAAGATTAATGAAGAGGAAGTAAGAAAGACCGCAGATGTAAAAGTTTTAGATTCCTTACTATGGGGAATCACAAGGCCCACTGTTTGAAACACATGAGGTGGTATCTTTAGACTTGCAAGATTTTTGTGAAAAATTTAGGTTCTTGGAAGCTAATTTCAGCTCACATGTGACTCTAAGTTGTCTGTAGGTGTCTCCCCCACTGAGTCCCACCCCAGGGAACTCATATTTTGGAAGCTTGTGAAAGGGTGAGTGGATAAATTAGTTCCTTTTTTACAGTCTGCATTATGCGTTCGTTCTCACAATACAGGATTCCTACATCCTGATGGCTGCACAACCAGCACCACATCTCCTGCGCTGGAGATGAACTCCTGCATTCGGGAGTGTGCTCTACGTCGCGTCTTTAAGAATCAGCAAATTAATCTGCTTAGTTGGATAGATGTGCTGGTTAGTCTTGTAGCATTAGGAATCAGGAGCCAGTGAAGAGACTTACTCTCTCAGGTCGTCAGTGCTCAAGATTTCTAACCCGTAATGTGACAAAGATGGCTACACCCATATGTGACAATCTAGCCATCAGCAGTGGCACTGGTCCCATTTATGGCTTTGTGACAGGAGCAGAAGGTGGCCGAGGAGAATAGAAGCGAAATCAGTTGTAGCACCTTAGACATTTCTCTCAGCACTACACCATTCTAGTACATTCTCAACTTGTGTTGTCCAGTACAGTAGCCACTAGCCATGTGTGCCTACTTAAATTTAAAATAATTTAAATTTAAATTTAAAATTCAGTTCCTCAGAAATTAGTCACATTCCAGGTGCTCAACAGCCACAGGCGTGGAATTTCCTGTCATAACAGGAAGTTCTCCCAGACAGCAGTGATTCTAAATGCTTCATGTTTTTGCCACAGGAGCAATACTCAGCTTTTTGCACTAAATATTACATGTCACAAAATTATCCTTCTTCTGCAAAAGATAGGAAGAAAATTGCATCACTATTTAAAATGCTCTGTGAACCTTGATTTCATAAGAAAAAGGACCACAGCTGAGTTCAGTTTATTATCTGAGCCATTCCTTGTGACCGATTGAAAAATCGAGTTCCGATTCTTTTCTTTTACAAATAAAGCTGCTAATCGATTCAGAGGTTATAGAGTGACAGGAGATCGGATTGGAGAATGGGGACCAAGGATCTTAGAGAAACCAATAATTGGGTCACATTACAGTTGGTATCTTTGAGCCCAGTCCTGTTCTTATGAACACGTGCCCTTCCTATAGGTTTTCATCCAATAAACATGGTCGTAGTAAAGAGAGGCAGGATGGAAGGCTCATTTTTTTCACTACTTTTTGTGCCTCAAAAGCTGGAAACAATTTTATGGGCCAGTAAATGTTAACAATTGTTTGCAAACTATTAACAAAGTAGAGCCAACTATTTGAAAGTACTATTTTTTAAAAGTCTGGGGTTGCTCTGTGCAAATAGTGACTAGGAAAGGAAGAACAGGGCCCTGGCTTCACTTGCTCTTTGCTGGAGCGCTCCCCGCTTGAGTGTCCCTCTGGAGAGCTGATTCTCTGCTCAAGGTGCAGGCTGTCTCCCAACCCAGTGATGACTGGACGGTGAAGTGGTTGAGGACAGGTTTCTCTCGGACACTCTAGGCTCCATCATTTCCCCCTTCTGTGATGTGACTTCCACACTCATCCTCCTTCAGACTCCAGCAGCCCATCCCTTAGAAGCAACATCTTAAGGAATCCATAATTTTTTTTATTGTAGTAACATTGGTTTATAGCATTATATAAATTTCAGGTGTACATCTTTATACTTCTGCTTCTGCGTAGATTACATCATGTTCACGACCCAAAGACTAATTACAGTCCATCACCACACACACGTGCCTAATCATCCCTTTTGCCCTCCTCCCTCCCCTGTTCCCCTCTGGTAACCACCAATCCAATCTCTGTCTCTATGTGTTTGTTTATTGTTGTTTTTGTCTTCTACTTATGAGTGAGATCATATGGTATTTGATTTTCTCCCTCTGACTTATTTCACTTAACATAATACCCTCAAGGTCCATCCATGTTGTCACAAATAGCTGGATTTCATCGTTGCTTATGGCTGAGTAGTATTCCATTGTTTATATATACCACATCTTCTTTATCCGTTCGTCCCTTGATGGGCATTTAAGTTGCTTTTAAGTCTTGGCTATTGTGCATAATAGCCAAGCAATAATAGCCAAGCCAAGCCGATACAGGGGTGCATGTATCTTTACACATTTGTGATTTCATGTTCTTTGGATAAATACCCAGCAGTGGGATAGCTGGATCATATGGTAGTTCTATTCTTAATTTTTCGAGGAATCTCCATACTGTTTTCCATAGTGGCTGCACCAGTTTGCACTCCCACCAGCAATGTATGAGATTTCCCTTCTTTCCACATCCTCTCCAACACTTGTTGTTTCCTGTGTTGTTAATTATAGCCATTCTGACGGGCATGAGGTGATATCTCATTATAGTTTTGATTTGCATTTCCCTGATAGTTGATGATGTTGAACATCTTTTCATGTGTCTAGTGGCCGTCTGTATATCTTCTTTGGAGAAACGTCTGGTCAGGTCTTTTGCCCATTTTTTAATCAGGTTATTAGTTTTTTTGTTGTTGAGATGTATGTGTTCTTTATATATTTTTGAGATTAACCCTTTATCAGATATATGGTTTGCAAATATCTTCTCCCAATTGTTAGGTTGTCTTTTCATTTTGTTGATAAGTTTCCTTTGCTGTGCAGAAGCTTTTTAGTTTGATGTAGTCCCATTTGTTTATTTTTTCTATTGTTTCCCTTGCCCGGTCAGACATGGTACTTGAAAATATGTTGCTAAGACCAATGTCAAAGAGCATACTGCCTAT